CCCCCCCCCCCCCCACCCCAGTCATTCACATCACAATACTAAAGTATTTTGATAATTTTGTGCCGCTGTTTTGTTCAGTAAAACATGTTTTTGCCTTCATCTTCAGGGTTGCACAACTCAGAATACGAACATCGACATAGATCACAAAGTTCTTAAAAGAGTATGTGTTCGTAGTCTTTTGAATGTCTTAAGCGATGATTTATGTTTCAGTTGGATGTGGATGTGCAACTCGCAGCGTGTGAATGTGATCCTGAAAAGGACCATATTCGAAACTAAATAATTAGGACAAATAAATATTAGGTGAGTAGTAAATGTGTATACGAGAACACTGCTGCTCCGGTATGAGGAGTTAGATGGTGATGTTCTGGGTTGTGACGCCATCTCGACGAGTTCGGATAAACTCACTGCCTCAATCTCCAAAAATCTTTACCTGATAACCTCGGGATAATTTATTTTGAAGGGAATGTTAATGGCACCCACTGGAGTGAATATTTCATAAACGAGTTGCGTGCATTTAAGTACGAGGCGAAGGCGAATTTCTGCACGCACGAAGTTCGATTTGAAGTTGAGGGGTGAACGATCGACCTCTATCAGGAGGATCTGAGGTTTTCATTGCTTTCGGTCCGAAGTTCTTCCTGACGATGGACCTCTGGTTCGTTGGTAAACTTCTAGACCAGTGGTATTCAACCTTTTATGTTCGCGTACCCCCAGATATAATTTCGCATCAACTTTGTACCCCCCAAAGTTGTTGGTGTATAATTCAAGTTATACGTAGTATATAATCTACATCTAAAATAAATTAAATAAATTACATTACTGATTATTCAGTGTTTATCATAAAATAATATATTTTATTTAGTGTTCTGTCTGACGACAGGTCCATATGAACAGGATCCTTCCATCCTTTTCTCGGACTGGGACCTGTTCATATACGTTCTTGGCAGATGATCCAGAAGTGGTTTGCCATTGCCTTCTTCTGTGTGTGAATGGAGTAATTGTTGTCAAAAAAAAAAAATTTTTTTTTTTTTTTAAATTTTCACGTACCCCAGGTTGAATACCACTGGACTACACGATGCTACAACCTTACTACCCTTCGCCGACGCAAGCCGAAACCTTTCATTACCTGGAAGCGTTGTACAGCTCCAGAGGTCTCGGCCGAGGTGACGGTACCAATGTCATCACAGGCTTCGCAGGATTCGATTCGAAGTCGCTGGTTTCAGAATCCGGAAACATAAACGTGGTGGTTCTGTTAAAGAATACAAAATGTGACCTTTCAGTTCTGTGTTTTTACAATAAATCAAAAATTGTATGATAATAATGAGGTTTTCGCGGCGAAGAAGATTAGAAACCGAGAATATCACAATCCAAGTAATGGAGGCCCTGTGAAAATCATGTATCGCCTAATTTCACTCGCGTTTGCGCCCACATGGCGTGATTTTGAATTTAGTTACGCAGTTTACTGGTCCAATTCTATGCCAGAGTTCAACTAGTACAGATTTCGAGTGCGTTGAATCTTTCACATAAAACCGACCTTCTGCATCATCACACAGAATTTTTAGAAATGTTTATGACTTAGTTATCGCGTGGTTTGGTCCAATGGTTCATTGGTTATCTACGTCAAACCGAAAGTTACATTTGATTGTTTGCGCAGGCGCAATGATGCAAGTTAGTTTGTACAAAAAAAAAGTGCCCTGACAAAACTTTAATATTTTAAATATTTCGCCGTTCACATTTCAGGACCTAACGTTGAGTGACTCAAATGTCGCTTCCAGCTCAGAAGTTCGCATGCCCCTGCGTTGTTGGCAGAAAATTGAAAAGTTCAATCTGTTGAAGACCTTTAATGACGTGGCGTTAAACTGTTATTTGGTTATGTATGCATAAAGAACGTTGGTTAGGTTAGGTTATGTTATTCATAGAGAGTATAGATGTATATACACAAGGTTAATATTTCGTATTATAATGTGTACATGTTTTCGTAAAAATACAGCACCGTACCACAGTGTATTACCTAAGATGTTGACCCTTAATCTGATTTTTACTCAATTTCGTAATGTTACGTAACCCGAAAGTTCAATACTGTAAGCATAAGTTTTCGTAATTGAGTGATAAGCCTATTCTTGGTAAGTTCAAATGTCACAGTTCACTTGCACAAATTCGTTTTGATAATTCGCTCCCACAGAAAGTTGTGACCGAGTGGTTAGGATTCCTGGTTCGCATACAGAATGCCCTGGGTTCAAGTCTCAGCCCGGAGACCGTCTATCTTGAGTTTTTCGTGGTTTTTCTCGGTCCTTGCAAGCAAGCAATATGAACCTAGGAGCCTCTGTATATTAAGTTTCCGAAATCCAAATTATTATACGTATTGCCAACCGTAAGACGTAAAATTCAATTTGTCACACTTTTTTTTATTTAATAACAAAAATCTGTTGAATTCAAGAATCGCTCAAATGAAAAAGACCATATTTAGGTTAAATGAAATCGAGATTTCGGGTTGAATTAAAAACAGTATTTTCATATTTCGGCAGTGAAACTTGCATGTCAAAGTAATGAATAGTATAAATGAACACAGTCATCTTCATACTCGCTGCCGTGAGAACCTGAAATCTCACAATTATTTTACTTATTATACAGTTCGTTATTCAAAAGCGTCATCCCATTTGTTGTCATATGGTCCTGACGTTTCGATTTCAGACGTCGACAAAACAACAGATATTTTAATTCCTATATAAATGAACAAACAGTTTGAACTCTGTGAGATTTGAGGTTTTGACGGTGTTGAGTACGAAGATGGCTGTCTTCTGGATCATCGCCCTGAAGATGGAGGCAGCAAGGTCCTCATAAATGTTGGTAATCTTCAACCCAGAATACAGCCATCATCATAGTTTGAAAGCCTTATCTCTTAAAAAATAAATAAAACTGTGTGGTTAAATCCGTCAACTTACCCAAAACTCCTTCGGCTCGTTTGGCTGGCATCAGACGACATCAAAGGGTGTGACTCACTTCCGGAATCATAATCAGAATAATTATGGGGCTTCCATCCATGAGACTTGGGACCAGCTCTGTCGTACATCTTCCGTGTTTCTACGAATAGCACAAAGCAACTGGGATGTTAAAACAAATAATATGGACTGTGGTTATAGCAAACGTCTAGAGCAAAGTTCATTTCAATAACTGGTTTGAACTCGAGACAATGCACTGCCATGAATGTTTCATGTTAGCGATGAGTACGTTAATGTCGCTTGTAGGGATACTTCTGCAGTCTGAAGACTAATCCTCGTCAGGAGACCCCCGTCGCTCTTTGACGTAGAAATCTCGAGATTCGGCTTATCATATTGATGTACATTGGTGATTATCCTTGTACCGAACCAGACATCTTCCTGGCAGTTGGCCAATTTAAGTAAACGCTGAATAAATCCCGTCACTTTGTCCGCCTGCAATATGCCTACGTGTCATGACGTGGTGCCTCGAAAATCTCCATAATTTCCTTGATTGTTTCGCGCAAATTATTTTTTCCTTCTTGAATGCGTTATAGATCTATTTATTTTTTAGTATGTTCGGTGAGAGGAAATTAGGAATTAGTGTAAAACAGCTTCAAAGAGAATATTTGGTATCCTGGCAAATGAACTGAAAAAAATATTGCCGAATGAACTATTTGTTTATGTTCACACTTCATGTTTTATTACAAGAATCACAAAGTCAGAAGGACTAAAGACACTCAGGATGGAGATGATACTAAATATTACTTGGTTTAGGAAAAGATTGCTTTTGGCAAAAGAGGGCCCTACATATGAGATTTTATGTTCTCGTGTCG